TAGGGCTTTATAGAGGGATCTTTATTTCATTCTTATAAGCTAACCATGAAACCAGAACATAGCATACATTCAGTAAGGAAGTGTAGTAATTTCAAAGGGGAAAGTTAGAACTATTAATGAGCGGTAGTAGTTTATTGTGGAAAGGGAATGTTGGGTTCTAGGTCTGGCTAACCATAACTGAGTAGTTACCACAAGTCACTTTTAACTATTTCATCTCTTTCATTATTTGTAAAATGGGAATTACAAGATTTATGGCCATACCGGGTATGGTGGCTCATGTCTATAGTCCCAGCACTTGGGAGGCTGAGGCAGAAAGATTGCCATGAGTTCAAGGCCAGCCTCAAATATAGCAAATTTTCCTCTGTGGCTTGTCCTGAGAGTTTAATCCCCATGAAGTATCTCACATAGAACATATGGATTTGTATACATGTATACAAGTGTAAATAATAAATATAAGAATCCAGGCAGGCCAGGCAGCGGTGGCACATGCCTTTAATCCCAGCATTCGGGAGGCAGAGGCAGGCAGATCTCTATGAGTTTGAGGCCAACCCGGTCTACAGAGCAAGTTCTAGGACAGGCTCCAAAGCTACAGAGAAATTTGTTTCAAACTCCCCAAACACACACACCAAAAAGTAGCCAGGCAGTGGTGGCGCACGCCTCAAACAAAAAACAAGACTTAATTGGGAAGCTTAATTGAGGTCCTTAAATGTGGACCCTTGGGCTGGGGTCCAGGAGTGAACAACAAGAAGAAGGCAAACTGAGTACAGGCATTCATCTTTCTCTGCCTTACAGAGACAATGTGAGCAACTGCCTTGCACTCCTGCTGCCACAGCTGGAGCTGTTTTCTCTAACAGGCTTTCCCCAGCACAACAAACTGACTCAAACTGCAAGTCAAAATAAGCCTTTCCTGGGGCTGGAGAGATGGCTCAGAGGTTAAGCGCACCGGCTGCTCTTCCAGAGGGCCTGATTCAATTCCCAGCAACCACATGGTGACTCACAACCACCTTGAATGAGATCTGGCGCCCTCTGGTAGCCTATACAGCACATTCAGGCAGAAGACTGCACACATAAAAATAAATTAATTAAAAAAACGTTTCCTTCCTTGGGTTGTTCTTGTCGGGTATTTTGTCACAGCAAAAGGAAAAGGTATGCACAGTGTAAGTGAATAAACAGACAAGTTCCATACTTCATATTCATATAATACAAGTACGGATCAAAGGTTGAAAATACAGAAACTACCAAGAACCATTTATTATCTTAAAGAGGTAAAGACATACCTATAACTATGACTCAACACTAGAAGCCATAGAAAAAGCTGATGATGCCAGGTGTGGTGGTGCACACCTTTAATGCCAGCACTCCATAAGTAGAGGCAGGAGAATGAGTTTGAGCCCAACTTGGTCTTTGTAGTGAAATTTTCTCAAAACCCAAATGTGGTGCAGCAGTAGCACAGGCCTTTAATCCAGGGAGGCAGATCCTTGAGGTCGAGGCCAGTCTGGTCTACAGAGTGAGTTCCAGGACAACCAGGGTGACACAAAGAAACCCTGTCTCAAAAACCACAACCAACAACAACCAAGCAACCACCCAAAAAACAAAAACAAAAGTCCGAAGGAGTAAATCTAAACAGCCAAGCAAAGACTTCTGCATGATACATGGCTGCCCTGGCAAACATGTGCAAAGTCTTCTGCATGATATATGGCTGCCCTGGCAAACATGTGCAAAGACACAAATCAGAAGGGACAGCAAATGGGAAATTTTCAATTAATATATAAAGAAAAAGAGAGTTATCCAGCTATAGTTGGCATAAGGCTTGGGAATGCCCCAATGGGCCATGTGTTGGATTTGTTCATCAGGGTAGGTGACTGAAAGTCACCCTAAGAATCCCTTAGAGCAAGTTCAAGGCCAGCCAGGGCTAAATAGTGAAACTGTATTTTGTTTTGTTTTGTTTGTTGAGACAGGGATTTTCTATGTAGCCCTGGCTGTCCTGGAACTTGCTCTGTAGACCAGTCTGGCCTCAAACTCGGAGATCCATCTGTCTTCACTTCTTCATAAGTACTGAGTTTAAGTTCCCAGAGGATTTTTTTTAAAGATTTTATTTATTTATTATGTATACATTCTTGTGCCTGCATGCCAGCAGATTTCTCCAAATCTCATTCAAGGTAGTTGTGAGCCACCATGTGGTTGCTGGGAATTGAACTCAGGATCTCTAGAAGAACAGTCAGTATTCTCCAGCCCCAAGGAATTTCTTGTATGACGGCTTAGTGGTTTTTGGAGGTTGTCACAGGGAAAGCCTAGCTCTACCCAGTCTCTGCATCCTGGCTTGAGGTGTGACTTTGCTTTTGAATACATTCCTGCCATTGCCAACTACTACAATTCAAGGTAACTCAAAAAGGAGCCAAAAGAATTAAGCTGATGTACTGGAGAAATGGCTCAGCAGTTAAGAGAGCTGGCTGTTCTTCCAGAGGTCCTGAGTTCAATTCCCACCAACCACGTGGTAGTTCACAACCGTCTCTAGTGGGATCTGATGTCCTCTTCTGGCATAAAGGCATACACATAGATAGGGCACTCATAAATAAGATAATTTGTTTGTTTATTTTTTTGAGACAGGGTTTCTCTGTAGCTTTGGAGGCTGTCCTGGAACTCAAGATCAGGCTGGCCTCGAACTCACAGAGATCTGCCTGCTTCTGCCTCCTGAGTGTTGGGGTTAAAGGTGTGAGCCACCACCTGGCATTGTCAAGAGTTCAAGGCTAACTTAGTGCACAAAACGAGAGGCCAGGTCAAGCCTGGACAATAGAGTAAATCCCTATTTCATCCTGCTCTCAAATAAAATAAAATAAAATATAAAAGATTGGGTCTACCAGGTGTGGTGTTACATGCCATTACTCCTGGCATTTGATAAGCAGAGGCAGGCAGATCTCTGTGAGTCTACAGAGCTAGATCCAGGGCAGCCAGGACTATTACCCTGACTCAAAAAAACAACAACAAAACACCAATATGGCGTCCAGTGGGTCCTCTAGAGAAGCAGTACTCTTAACCACTAAGCCACCATTTTATTGTAGCTCCCAATACCTTATTTATTTATTTATTTATTTCTGAGACATGATTTCTCTGTGGCTTTGGAGGCTGTCCTGGAACTAGCTCTTGTAGACCAGGCTGGTCTCGAACTCACAATTTGTGCTATATAGTGAGTTTTAGAACAGTTTGGGCTAAAATGAGACCATCCCAAACAAATCCCAAAACTGCGTAGAAGTCTTTCTCTTTAGGACTTTAGATTTGTTCCAGAATGAATAACAACTTTGAACCTGGCAGGTACCCAGATACTTGTTTCAATTTAGTAGTACAAAGTTGCGTCTTTTTGGTTATCTAGGGTCTTGTTTACTCTATTATGGCTTGCCAACCTTGAAGTTAGAATTTTTTGTTGGTTGGGTTTTTTTTTTTTTTTTAAACAGAACTGCTGTTTTTATTTATTTGCACTTCCCTATCTCACCTAGTAGATGCTTGTAGACATGTTGTTATTGTTGCTATTGTTGGTGGCTTTTTGAGACAAAGTCTTGCTTTGTAGCTCTGGCTGTACTGCAATTTACTATGTAGATCAGGCTGGCCTTTCACTCAACAGAGCTATCCACCTGCCTCTGCCTCCCTACTGCCAGGAATAAAAGCAGGTGCCACAAAGCCCAGCCCAGCAGGCACTCTTTACTGCTAAGCAATCTCTCCAGCCTGGTTTTTATTTTTGAAATGGGGTCTCTTTTAACTCTGGCTATTGTCAGACTTGCTACCTTGTCAAGGATATCCTTAAACTCTAATTCTCCCGCCTCTGTCTTTAACAAGTGCTGGATTTCAGGCAGAGACACTACGGGTTTGATTTTATCTCCTTCCCTCTGCCATCTTCTCCTCCTGTTTTTCCTTCTCGTCCTCCTCTTCTTCTAATTTTCATACAGGGTCTCCTGAAGCCCAGGCTGCCTACAACTCTCTAGGTACCTAAGACTGGCCTTGAACCCCCAATATTCCTGTATCTACCTCTTGGATGCTGGAATTACAGGCATGTGCTTTGGTGTGGGACAGCCCATTTTATAGGAAGATCCACAGTTTGAAGCCAGCCTCAGGTATGGAAGCCAGCCTTGGTCTAAGAAAACAAAAGCCAAGCAGAATGTAAGGCCCAGCAAAGGAGCTACTGACACATGGTATCCGTATAAAAGACATAACTCTAGTCATCCAGGGAACTGTGGGTCAGCTTTAAAATCTGAATGTTTTCTGTATCTCTATTAGGTTTCTTTTGGGAAGAATGTAACCAGGAGGACAATACTCTCCCAAACCTCTCCCCATACCTTCCCATATTAATGTGTTTTTCACTTACCAAGGGGCGGGGGTGGGGGGAGGGATTATGCAGCATTAAGCAACTTAAAAGTAAAGGGGGGGAGGCAGAGGCAGGTGGATCTCTGTGAGGTCAAGACCAGCCTGGGCTACAAGAGCTAGTTCCAGGACAGCCTCCCAAAGCCACAGAGAAACCCTGTCTTGAAGAAAAAAAAAAAAAAAAAAAGAAAAGGGGGAAAAATCGACCAAGCAAATTCCTGCATTTTAGAGTCCTGTGACATTCCCCACCTCCTCCTTAGAGATAACTATCAAGAGCCCCGGGCCAGTCAGAAAGGCTCTAGCTGCAAACCCTGCTGCCAATCGGGATGCCCTTTACCTGTTGAGAAGGAGGCTTTGGCTTCCTTAAGCGACTGTCTTCTGGGCCAACCAGAGGTCTCTAGGAAAGAATGGCACCAATCGCCCTCAAGAGGGAGGAAAGTTCGGGCTGCACCTGCGTACGGTGAGTCAGTCGTCGGAGCTCCCTCTCTCTTCACCAATCAGAACTTGGGACAGCCGGGCGCCGCCCACCAGGCGTGGAGAGAAAGGCGGGCAGGGCTCAACCTGGCGGCTGGAGTCCAGTCCCAGCGCGTTGGATCGCGAAGCTCTTCCCAGCCCAGTGGCTCGCCCGTCGCGTGGGAATTGTAACTGTAATGGGCACCGAGGGGAAAGCCGGGAGGAAACTGTTGTTTCTCTTCACTTCCATGGTCCTTGGTGAGTTCTCGGAGTTTTTGGAGGATTTGGTGGGTCGGGTCAGAGGTTGGCGAAGGCGCACCCCACGCGCCAACGGGAAGGGAGGAGTCCAGAAACCTGCTTGCTCGCTTGCCTCGCCCTAGGAGTCCACTTTTACGCCCCGATCTGGTCACTCTACTTTCCCCTCCCCCACCTGGAGACTGCCTGGCTCCCCTCCCCCAAGCCGGTGATCTGTGACCCCACCTCCTACACTGTGGCGGGGAGCCTTAAAAATAACTGAGAGGGTCCACGGTTCTGCGTCTTCCCTTGAAGCCCAAGGACCCCTTCCACACCCAAGTCTTAAGCTACCCATTCCCCTCCATATGCACCTGAGAGGTCGTTCTCCCCTCCGACATCTCCGGGGACCCAGAGCCTCTCACCCGCACTCTCTTGGCTCAAGTGTCCTTGGAGGAAATGTAATGGAGGTGGGGGTAGGGAATGTTTCCTTTCCTGGCTTTTGCAGAAGGGGTCTCTAGCTCTTGTTACATTGTGGACCTTTTGGGATTAATGCCGGGGTTCAGCGTCTGAAGAAGAAATGAAATCTCTAAAAAATTTCTCAAATCATAGCATTGAGAATTCCTTTCTTGAATAAATAGCGAGGAGTCCTTTAATTAAGGTTGTTGACTGAGTGACGATTCCCTGGGGGAGACTGGGACTATTGGTTGGCTGGATCTCCTCAGAGCCAGAACTCTGCCCTCCCTCTTGCCCGGAATGAGTTTTTTTTGTTTCTTTGTAGACTCCCTTTCCTGAGAAACAACCAGGCTCGCATGCTGGGGCATGACTCTCTCGAGGTGTGTTTGTATGAGGCCGAGAGTGAGGTTGGTTGGTTTGTGCCTTGGTCATTGTGTGTCAGCACCTGTATATTTATCTGTCTGATTTTCCCCGCCACCACCCTTCAGAGCCGAGGACCAAAACCAGGGACTTGGGTGTACTATGTCTGGTTCTTGAGTGGCATACACAACTATTGGGTAGTTTTGTTGGACCGTGTTCTCTATGAATCTGTTTCAAGGGTAAAGGAGATGAAATATTACAGTATTGGTGTATTCTAAAGGCAGTTCGTTTTGGTGAATTTTGGGAAAAGCACCCAAGGTGGATAGATCATGCCTTTGTGTCGTTACAGAACTAAAAACTCTTGGGGTGGACTAGACAATAGGTGATCCCACTCCTCTCCATTGTACAGATAAGGAAATGAGTCTTGAGAGAGGAAATGACTTTTCCAGTTTACAAGGGGGTAGAAGCTGGGGATGGAACGAGTCCTCTGACTCCTGGAGATCCAGCCTCTCAGGCATGAGGCAGGCCCAAGAACTATATGAGCTACTGCTGTCTTATTTAAAAAAAGATCCTTCCATGGGTCTTCCTCTCTCACGTTTTCCTTCTACTTGTCCACGTCTGCATTCCTCCTCTTCCTTCCTTTGCCCAGCCATCACTTATTTCATTTTCGTTCATATCTTAGAAATGTTAGCCACGCCCATATTCCTGTTTTGTATACAGTTTCTTCTGGATCAGTGACAGCAGTTGTTAGGCTTATAACTTCCTGGAGTTGCTTCCTTCTAACCCCTTCCTTTTCTTTTCCCCTAATTTCCTGCATTGGTTCTACGGCATACTACTTCTGAATGGGTTGTGACAATGGCATTTTGAGCAAGCACCACTATTCAAGGGAGCCTGGGGTGCTGTTGCATATGCTTGCCCGGGCAGTGGCTCCTAGGGAATAGCGTTGGGGGTGGGGGAGTGGAGGAATGGACCCAGAAACTTTGAAATCATCAAGGTAGACCTGGGGGCGGGGAGTGCCTTGGTTAGTGCAAATGAGGTTAGAAATGGTAGCATGGGCCACCTCAGCAGGCATCCTGGCTTTGCCTTTTTTCTCTGTCTTGTGACCTTAAGCTAGTGGCTCAGTCTCTTCAGCTATAAAACAGGAGTAATAATACTGGTCCTGCATTTGCCTTGGGGATCAATGGAGATAATAGCTACATCACATAGACATGAAGGAATTACTGCTAGAACTATTACCCCTTTGGATTTTGTGAGGGTGCAAGAAGGCTGTCCCTACAAGAGTGGGTCAAAGGGAGCAGGGAAATTCCCATGGTGGGGCTTTATTTTAAAGTAGGAGCTCTCTGGGAGCCATCTGGTCTGAACCATAAACAGATTGCCACTGTCCTGTTCTTTTTTTTTTTTTTAGATTTTTATTTATTTATTATGTATACAACATTCTGCTTCCATGTATATCTGCACACCAGAAGAGGCCACCAGATCTTATAATGGATGGTTGTGAGCCACCATGTGGTTGCTGGGAACCGAACTCAGGATCTCTGGAAGAGCAGTTGGTGCTTTTAACCTCTGAGCCATCTCTCCAGTCCTGTCCTGTTCTTCTTGAGTCATTGGTCATCATGGGCTCCGCTGTCAGGAGGGAGAAGAAAGGGCAAGTTAAGTATGAGCTAGGTGAGTGGAAGACAGCTCCAGCCTGAGGTACTTAGTGGGCAGGGATACACAGACATGCTGGGAGAGCTGAGCTTGGGGAATGTGAAATTGGTGAGCCAGAAATTGGTGCATTCCCTTTTCTCTAGAACCTGAACTTGGGGAAAATGGCATGGGCCAACTTTTATTGGATCCAGAAGGGAGGAAAGTAAGCCAGGGTTGGAATGCTGACCTTTGTTCTGCCTCCTCTTACCTGGGTGTAGAGATCCCATACTTCTAAGAGGGGTGGACGACTACCATGGCTTTGGTTAGAGCCCCGATGTTTCTGCTGGTGTTTCTGAAGAAGTTTCTTTTGAATATTTCCAAAGTGCTGTTCAGGGGGCAGACTTCCCTCGAAACTGTGGATCGGTGGATGAGTCATGCCCACTGCTTCCCCCTGGGAAAATAATTATTCTCTTGAAACTAGAAACTAGTTAGTGCCACAGCTAGAAGGAGAAAATGAGCGGTGGCCAGGCTCCAGCAATCTAGGCTGGGCTCTGGAATGTTTTCACCTGTGATATTTCTCTTCTGCTTCTTCGTGATTTGGGCTTGTCCAGGGCCTTCAGCCTAGTTCTGCTTTGGGCAGAGCTGCTGTAATTCCAAAAATTGTTTATTCAAAGTGCATTGGTTGACAGAATTTGAGATTCAAAATACCTGGAAGGGGTGGAGTGGAGTGGTTCACCCCCACTCTGCTCTTGCTGAAGCTATCCCTGGCAGTTTTTTTTTTTTTTTTTTTTTTTTTTTTTGGACAGGGTTTCTCTGTGGTTTTGTAAGTAGCTCTTGTAGACCAGGCTGGTCTCGAACTCAGAGATCTGCCTGCCTCTGCCTCCTGAGTGCTGGGATTAAAGGTGTGCACCACCAATGCCCAGCTTCCCTGGCAGTTTCTTATGTCTATCTTCCTAGTGTTTTGTTATGCACACATGTGTAAAATGTATATTTGTTTTCTCACCCTTTTCTTACACTAAAGAGGCTTACAGTATGCATTAGATTACATCTTGTTTATTTACCTAATATAGCCTGGGAATTTCTCTCTCTCTCCTCTCCCCTCCTCCCCTCTTGTTTTGTTGTTTCAAGACAGGGTCTCACTGGCCTGAAATTTGCAATTTGCTATGTAGATCAGGCTAGTAGTTTTGAATTCACAGAGCTATGACTGTTTTTTCCCCCTTGCTGGCATTATAGGGGCTATGGACTTGTCTGTTTGGATCTGCCCAACCTCCTCACACAGCTGAAATTTAAGGGGGAGGGTGCTGACACCCCCCAACCTTCACAGATGGATTGAAATACTACACACATTTTATGTGGCAAATTAGGAAGTAATGGGGCTTGGTTCTCACATCTGTTGGCTTTGAGACTAGGAAATCTCAGAGTTCATATCTGTTTCTGCTTCACAGGCTCCACTAGGTGTCCAAAGCAAATGGTAAGTGAGAAAGAAGTTTCTCGGAATTGGGAGGAGCCTGTGGGAAGCAGTATGAGCAGATGCATATTGGGATTTTCCAGACATTGAAACTCTGGAGTTTGTCGGCCTGGGACTCCCTGATAAGCAGAGTTTCTGTCCAAAGTCCAGCTTGTGTCATTTGTTTTACAGCGTGGGGGTGGGATTAGAGGAAGCAGCTGGCTGGCAGGAAGTCTGATGCCAGGTCCCTGGGGTGAATTCTGTCCTGACAGGAGTGGCTGTCCTCTGCAATGGGGGAGGGGGCCGAACAGGTAAAACTGGAAAGTGTACAAAGAGGCAGGAGGGAGCCATGGAGTGAAAGCCTCCCCTCCTTCCACGGCCATTATCCATTCCCACCATCATCAGAGGTCTGAGCCTGCTCCTAGTAGGACCCCCACAGCCTCCAGAGAGCTTTTGTTCATTATGCCCAGAGCGTTGTCTGAAGTTCCTATGCCCACATGGGAAGTACTGTGTTCTTAGAGAAAAGCAGAGACTGGCTGGATGACCTCCCTCCTTTTCCTTCCTTCCTTTTTAAAGATCAAACTAGTGGCAGAAGAGCGAGCATCTTGAGAAATATTCTAACAGTTAACAGGATGTGTATTAAGAGAAAACAAAGGGCTTCCGATTAAAACAGAAGAAGGAAGTAGCTGTTCTGCTGTGGACTGGACCCTCATGTTCAAAAACATAGGTTGTTGGGGGGGCTCTGTTCAGTGTCTGGAGTCTCCAGTGTGTCTGTGTCAACTTCATATGGCAACAGCTTCTCGGAGGCTCAGGGAACATCCAGAGCTAGAGATTGGGAGGATTGAAACCAGCTGGTTGTCTTTGTTTCCAAGAGTTGCAAGCATGATTCCCGAATGGAATATACCAGACAACCATCAACAAAGCACAGAATGTTTTGGGAGCAAAAGGCAGGCAGTGACTTTTGTGCTGGGCATGGTGGCATGTGTCACTAATGCCAGCACACAGACGCTGAGGCGGGACTCCTCAAATAATTCTTTGACGGTGCCATTGTATACAATACACTCTGATCATGCTCTCACACACCTTTATCCCCGTTTCTCTGATCTCCTTTCCTCCCAACAAGTTTCCTTCCCACTTA